TAGATATACAACATATACTTTGACATGCCATGTACTGAGGACGCATGCACCAGACGCGCGGCACATGAGTTACGTGATAGTTTTGTGGAAGTATCGATATTAGGATGAGTACTGTTCTTAATAATATTAGTACTAGTGTTTGCTGTGATAGTATACATGTCAGTATTACTAAACATAAATTAGTGTCAGTGCTCATGCTCGTTTTAGAGTTAGCGCTAGTGCCAGTGTCAATGTCAGTAATACAGCACCACTGCTAGTATCAGTGTCAGTCTTAATGTTGGGTTTAACCGCAGCTTATATTCGCAGAAGTGCTAGTATTAGTATCAATACTAGAACTAGTTTTGATATGTTAGAATATTGATAGTTTCGTACAGTAGCAGACTAGTATATCAATATGTTATTAATGCATTCGAACAGTAACATATTTGTATACTTGTATACTTGTATATTTGATATGTTAGCACAACTGGTGCACGGGTACACTAGTATATTGGTGTATTAGTTTACTAGTATGTGTGCTATATTCATGTATTGTCTAGTCATATTTACAAGTATATCAGTATGTTGGCATATTAGCCTACTAATTTGTCATGTCGGTATACTTGCATGTTGCAGTAGTCGTATATTAGTATACTCGCATATTAGTATAGTATATTCATACATTAACGGGAAGTATATTATTACATTGGTATATGGGTATATGTTTATGCCAAAACATTAGCACATGAATGCACTAGTGTATATATCTGTATCTTAAGATAGTGGTATGTATTTTTATGTACATTAGTATATGCAGGTGTCTATTAGTAAAAAGATTAGCATTCATATCAATACGAATATACTATTGGTATTCGTAGGAGTTTTAATGTTGATATTAGAATTAAGACTATTCATAGTCGTATTAGGCATAATATAAGTGTTCATGCTGGGAATAGTACTGGCATTCATGAATATTCAACAGATTATCAATATCCGTATCAGTGTTGGTGATAGCATTATTGTTAACACCACAAGAGTTTATGTAGTCGTACTCGTAGGAGTATCACTACTATTGCAAATATTGATGTTAGTATAAATATTGTGATAAGTATTAGTAGTAGTATTAGCGTTAGTACTATAATATTATGAACACACTTGAAGTATGTGTCACGCTTTCCAGGCAATCAGGCAATGACCAGGAAGATTCGAAGCTGCCAGTTTGAGTATTGGCATCGGCACCAAAACATGGCGACAGTGACAGGCAACATGTTGAAGTTTTTGCACAACCACCGGTGATGCCTTCTGAAACATGGAGTGCGAGGTTTTGGATGGAAGAGCGGAGCCCGAAAGTGAAATCAGAATCCGTTTCGGGTTTCGTGGGGATATAACATGTGAGAACAAATTACAACATGTAGAGCTAAGTAGATGCTAGGTGCAGAAAATATCGCAAATACCAATGATTTTGTATGTAGGTGAAGTCATGTAGAAATCGAAGCATGAGCAGCAGGAGGTAGAAAAAAACATGGTATGGATCATGGGGGGGGGGGGCGCGTGACCATATATATATATATACTGTACAAACTGTATACAAAATAGACTGTATATACTATCTATACTGTATATACTCTATATATATATATATGTATATATATATATATATATATATATATACACTATATATACTCACGCAAATTATGTTACAGCCCGGAACTACCCCGAATGTGAAACTTATGCACGTAAACGACTTTATGAAATATTATTTGGTGAGAACATCAGAACATATATGCACACACATATGTATACAGATTATCACCATAGATATGTATATATATATATAACACGTATAGTAACACTGCATTGATACAACTTGCTTATGCACAGTCTGCTTGGAAGGCATTCAATATGCACGAACGCTTGCCTGCCGTTTTCCTGTTGATTTTCCTTCTTCAGTTTGTTTGTTCTTTTATTCTTCATGCATATGTTTGTTCTTGAGTATTTCTTTGTTTCTGTGCTTCGTCTTTCCTTTCTTCCTGTCCATCTTTCTTCCTCTGTTTGGTCCTTCTATCAGCCGTTTTCTGCCTTTCTTCCTTGCTTTGGTCCTTGTTCTGCCGTGTTTCTTTCCTTCTTCCTGGGTTCTTGTCGTTGCCGGTGGAAGAAAATCAAGAAAAGCACGCCAAATCCGTCCAGAACGCAAGGATACTAGTGTTTTCTCTAGGAAAACCAAGGAAAAGCACCCCAAAAAAAACATACGCTAAAAAATAGGCCCTCCCTTGCGGGGGTCTTTGGTGGGGGACCGATCTCCTTGCCACGCTCGTGGTGTGTTAGCCAATTGGTCCTGTTGCCAACCTGATCGAAGTAAGGAGTCAATATCAGCATGCTGTGGGCCGGAAGTAACCTGGTCGGCGACGTGTTGCCACACCCGAAGACCGCACTGTGAGTCTCGAAGAGCATCCTGAACACGGTTAGGAATGACCCGGGTTTGTCGCGAGGTGTGCGGCCTGGGGTGCGTGGGAAGAGGCACGGAGCCAGCTTGGCACAAAAGGTGCCATGTTTGGAGCCGTGTTCCTCGCCTCCTTGTCGGCCAGGCTGTCACGAACTATCACATATTGAGGACCCTGCAGTCAGCCCGTCGAAGAAGAGCCTGCAGTTGCTCTCGGTCTCGATGAGGGGAGCCGTCACTGGCGACTAGAGCCGGGCCACTGATAGGATGATCATGCTGAAGTTGCGTGTTAGAGTCACCTGCCATGATGGCACCGCGTCGGAGCGGAACTCGAGACAGCCAGTTATCTATGTGATTCCAAATCTGGGCTCTCTGCTTAAGCAGTTCTTCCACACGATTCGTCTGATGTAAGGAAGCTTTTCCCGGATTCCATGCGACCTGATAGACGCAAAGAACATCGAGCGGAGTCGTATACATGAGGCGGATGTGGAGCAACCGGCCCGGGGACACAGCCACATTGCTGATGCAATCTGCCAGTAGGAGCGACGACCTGATGAGGCACAAGATGCCTGTTTTGCTGGGGCCGCCGGAGTGAATCGCATACCACTGAGTCTCACGCTGGTCCGCAACGGCAGTCTTGAACTCAAAGTCTTCCTTCCAGGCCGTTTCCTGGATACAAGCAATATCAATCGGCCTGGCCAGTGCAGCCTGCTGCTTTAGCCAGACGAGAATCTCTTGATACGTACTAGCTGAGAGACCTCCACATTTGTAGGTCATGATTCTGAGTCTCCGCCTCGGCCTGGGGTGGGGCAGTGATTTCCGGGCATCTCTGCCTTCAGTGCAGACCGGATGTTGTCCAAGCTCACGAAGGTGGAGTCGACGGCCTCTGTACCAGGTGGTTTGATCATCTCTAGCACTAGCCCGCCGAACTGCCCTGTTGAAAGCTCTCTTCCTGCTCCGGGGACAGAAATGATTGAGAGGCCCTGCGTAACGGCTATCACCGGTATGCTTCGCCTCGTCGGTCACATGTGGAGCAAAGGGTGAGGCTCCAGGACCCCAGCGGTGGTGAGGTCCAACCCTCGCGTCTGATGCAGCACTCGTGGCAGCAGGCAGTGGTAGAGGACCTCATAGTCACAGTCATAGGCAGTCTTGAGCACTGTGTTAAAGGCAAGAAGGGCATCATGTGCAGACATTAGGTTCGCGGGTAGCTTCTGCAGCACCTTTGAGTGCGCCGTCCGCTTCATCCCCGAAGCGTCCTACATGAGTACCTGGCCAGCCGGGGCAATCTGCAGCATGATGTGAAGCCGGGGCAGAAGAACCACAGGCACGTCCCGCAGCTGTTTCGCTCGGCTGTAGCTGCAGAGTGGTAGCGTGCCGGCCCGGCCCCTGTGAGACCAACTCGAGGGAAGGCCTATCAGCCCACCCCGTAAGGATAGGCTCCTATGCTGCATCTCACTATGCCTCACTAGCGTCTCGCTGCCGCCTAGGCACACAACAACTTGATGTAAGGCATGCTGGTCGGCCCACTGAGGCTTGACCAGTACTGATACATACAAGCACACTGTATAAGGATCCTGCTGCGGTTGGCCCTCGACTTCGGCGCCGGTGGATCTGCAGCCATGGTGGTCCTCGAGCTGTGCTCCATCATGGTCGAGGCCCCGAGTCGCGGGGATCCGGAATATCTGGGGCTGCGTGATGTCATCGCTGGTCCTGTCGACGCACTATAGCCGTTGAGTTGAGGCTCCCGAGCTTCCCCAGCTTCTTCCTGCGATCCAGCATCCTCATTTGGGCCGTCGGTGCAGCATAAGACTGTGTTCGGATGGTCCTGCTCCCAGCCCGTCATAGGCCGAATGTCCACCGTAAAGTCCCGTAGGCTCCGCCAGGAATAAGGCAGGTGTGTCAGGATGTAGCCCTCCTGCACTCGGCCAGCACCCGCAAGGATGTCGCCCACAGCCACGGAGATCCTATGAGATCCTCATTGCCGGCGACACTTCCTCCGCTGGTAGAGGCATCCCGTCAGCTATACCGCTCCGAGGCACAGCAGTCGACGCCTCCACAGCCACCGGCCTCGGAACTGGAGGTCCTCAGGGAGGCCCTGCATCCGCAACCGCAATGGGGAAGGCAACTTCTGCATCATCACTGTTGGACCAGACATCCTCGCCCGTGTCCCCTGACATGTCTACAGCTCACCTCTTGAGCCCTACAAGTTGCAACGACCCATGTGCGCTGCAAACAGGTCTTCAAACATGTCAAGTCAAAGCACTTGCTTCCAAGCACACCTGCTGCTGTCTGAAACCAGTAAGTGAGCATGGGGCACATCTCGTAGGTAGCGAGGGCATCTCCCACGGTGTCGGCCGGGCACCGCAACAACAGAGCCATCACACCCACAAGGTAGACAGCACTAGCACAGGCCAGATAACATCCTAGAGTTGGAAGAAGCACAGTCTGCAGTGCCTGCATCAGATCCCGTCGGGGTACCGGTGGGGTTGCTAGCACTAGGCAACACACCCCTCTGATCGTGCGGCAGCACTGAGTCGAAAGCCACTCCTCGCAAACTCCAAAGTACAGAAGCCTGAGACCCTTAGTCTAAGGCATCCAGCGGGCTCCTCTGGTACAGGTATACAGCCTGTAGCATCGAGATAGCAAAGACCCTGTCAAACTTGAGGGTGCTCTCAAGGATCTTAAGCTTGCGAGGACCATCCAGCAAGAACCATCCATTGAACCAAATATGGAAGGCTCCCAGATCAGCCCAGCTCTCACGCACCAACCTGTGACGTTCCCGGAGCACATCAAGCGAGCAGTCCTTCCACTGTCTCGTGAGCTGGCCGAGCACCAGGTTTTCAGCAAAGATGCCGTGAAAATCACGCAAGCCATTTCCATGGCTGGCCAGTATGCATGCCACAAGGCCACCCTTCAGCAGAGCTCCGATCACACCCAAAGATCCAAAGCAAAACGAACAAAACCAAAACCCGAGGGCCGCAACCCTCTCTCCCTCTTCTTTGCCCTTCACCGAACGCTCGGTCTCGCTGACCTTCACGCCCAGCATGCTGGGAGCCGAGACGCTTATACATGTATATATATATATATATATATATATATATATATAGGTACGTGAATGTGACAAGGTCTGAAACCAACATGTACACGGCACAGGTACATGTCTGCGTATGTGTTCGTGCACGCGCCGTGTGGCAATCTCTCTGGCTAAAACATGCTAAAACACTCTCTCCGAGGAAATTGAAGGAGCTGGAGGCTTGACATTTGAGGACCAAGGATGGCCTAGAATTTAGATCTCTAGGCGGACAAACCCGATGCTGTCGCAGCATCCTAACATGCCCCAAATCGCCAACCTTTACGCTACCTCAGGCCATGCAAGTCGATATCACCAATGCCGGCATCCGCTTCTGGGAAGTGGTCTAGAGCTGGTAACCCTTTTTCCGGAATCCGAAGCTAGTGGTTCGGGGTCTCAGTCCCTTCGTAGATTTTGTCTCTTCGGCATCCTCGGATAAGACTAGATGCCTCAGAGGACACCAGAAAGAGCGCCTGCAGCAGGTGCCTGGGAACACACAGAAACAACACAGAAAGAAGCGAACACCCAACGGTTCTGAGTCGCGCGCCATGCTGAAGACTTGGAGGCATGGGAAAAACTTTTTAACAAGGCCCGAGTGCCGAATCCCTTCATTTGCCTATGTGAAGGGGTACATCGATGGTACGCGAGCCGACGTGACAAGGAGAACGCTCATGTGCCCGGGATATTTTTGGGCTTCCGAGAACTTACAAAGACTGGCTGAGCTCGCCACTCGGCGCTGCTTCCGCCTTCGGCGCACCTCCAGATCATGATGCCAAAAACGAAAATCTTCCAACTCTTCCGGGCTTCACGGTGTCGAGGTCAGGCTGATTGTGCTATTGTGGAATACCTGCTTTTTCGCTGGTGATGGGCATTTTTTCGCTAGTACTGGGCAAATGCGGTTCTTTTCCATATACTTCTGAAGCCGTGAAAGTCTGCGACAACGGTTGACTTCAGCGAAGTCTCGAAGGCTTTACACGATTCTAGCGACACCCCGGAACGACAGACCACATCCTCGATCCGAAAAGGCATTCTGCGAAAGGGGGTGAGCAAAGAAAAAACTTTCCGAAGCTTTTGCCGAAGCTTTTGCCAGAAATGGCAGTTGGCTGAAGACATGACACATAAACCCCAGCGACGCTCGAAAGCCCGGGATCCAATCCGTACAGTCTAAGTCGATGCGTTGTCTTCGGGGCCTTGCACCCGGGTTTGTGTGGGCCTTCACCGATGATGCGGACACAAGCATCGTTTGCTGTCTACAGGTGCAACAGGCGATCCTGGAGCTTAGCTGCGCATCGAAATTGCCTGGAGCTCTCTGTAAGGAACTTTCAATGAGTTCTTTATCTGAGTTTCTATGGTCGGGACGGCACCTCGCCCGGTGGGCATAGGTGGCAGTGGAGGCAACTCTGGCCCCGTGCGCAGCCCTGGCTCTTCCAGAACCTGAAGCGAACTGGCAAAGAGTTTTAAGGTCGAGGTGTCAGAGCTGATTTTCGGGAGCGCTCCGGGCCCCTTCCCTTGCCTTGCATTGCCTTGCATCTTGAGACGAGCTGCCACATACATGGCTTGCATTGACCGCTGGAGTGAAGGAGGGCGCCCAAAGAGGGCTCCACCCGTCTTTGCATCTCGCAGTCGGTGTCGCTCTGTGATCCGCTCTGTGACCCTGAGAGGCTCGGGGATTCCAGGCCCGGCGGTGGCTGGAGGCGGAAGCCTTTGGGGGCTTTGCGCCGCTTGCGATCCTTGACCTCTGTTTCAGGACAAAGGTGGCAGTGCAGGCAGTCCGCCCCGTTTTTACATCCTTGGAGCTTCCAAAACCAGGCACAGGGCTTGCAAAGCCCCGTCCCGTGCTGCACCGAGCCCTTGGAAGGCAGAGCCTGGGCCTCCAGGAAGGCTGGCACGGCTCCCATGGTGGCTCCCTCCTCGTCACTGGACCACCCTTTAAGGCTCTCTCCGGCAAGGGCATAGTCATGGTCATAGCCGCCATAGCCTCGGCTGATCGCAAACCGGAAAAGCTTGGAACTAACACTTTCTTCGAAACACTCCATCAAAAGGGGGAACAATTGCTCATGGATCGATCTATTGCCCTGGTGGCTTTGGCTGTAAGCTGCATGGGCCCCATCCGCGGGCAGCCTCTCCTCGATCAGGTCTGCGATCCGGATCTGCATCGGGGCCAGGAAGCAGTCGGAGAAGGTCATGGCCCTCGGGATTCGATGTGCTGGAAGCTTAGGTCTCAGGTCTTCTGAATGGAGGCAAATCTCCCATGCCAGTTCCAAGGATGATCAAAAAAGACTACAAGACTAGTCTCACAGCATTTATGAAGAAAGAGCGGGATGCGGCGGCAAAGCGAGTTCGGCCAGGTCGCGAAAGAGAGCCGAGCAGGCTTGTCCAAGGCTTGTGGGTGTCGCTTTGGGCCACAAAAGCGCTGAAGGAAGGCCGGTCAGATGTGCAAAAAAGGCTCTGCACAACCATGACAGTGACGGACACACCTGACCTGAGAACCAACACGAGTTGAAGGTCGATTACACACGCAAAAAGCAACAGAACATACCCGAAACACAAGCTACGGACTGTGTTGAAACGATGCAGAAACCGGTGTCTGTTACTGGCACACTCAGCTCAAAACTTGAAACTCCAATCGCCAGTCAAGACTCGGGAGCCAACGTCTCAAAGCGACAAAATGAGCCCAGAACTTACAGCTGGGCTGCTGCAAGCACTTCACAACTTCGGAGTTTGAACGCTTGCAACCGATCCCTGCAGCAAGCCCGGTGCACATGACAGTACACTAAAGCACGTGCATGTTCGTTAAAGGATTGCTTGAGTTAGGTTAGATAGTTGGCATCATGCTGCAAGGCCGAAAAGGAAGGCAAGGGCGGCACAAGCGTTGGCAGCATTCGAACTGGGAAATCACCCCTGGAGCTGGGCAGCAAAAGGCAACACAAAGAAAACTTCAATTTTGGCTTACGCCTCAAGTCTGCGGCTTCAGAATGGCCCGGACTGTTTTAGGACACCTCTGATTTTCGTCGGTTGGCTCTTTACATGACTAGCCTGTGTCTGGGCTACACACATTTTACACGCATCGGTCTTGGTCGTGCGGTCTCTGGGCACCTGGCCCACGCTGAAAGTCCTGAAATGGCGCAGAAGTTTCCACAGCCGGGAGGGTACTTGTTTTCCTTGCTGACGGGATGAGACTCCCACGATCCGGTACAGTAACCAGTGAATCGGTGAGCGTATTTTCCAGCTGCGACGGGATGGTAAGCTGTCCTGCTGCTGGCACAGCTTCTCTCCCGGACACAGGCATCGGAGTACCTATGACCAGAAGAAACCCCTGAACCCCAACGAGGGGTTGGGTCTGGTTTGGTACACACAGAAATACTGCACAAGAAGACTTGCAAAGGCGCAGCCGAACGAAGCTGCAGAGGAATAGAAGCATGTTAAAAGACACAGGGCTGAGGATTTTGAACTTCAGCTTGTCATTGCTTTGAATGCAGTTCTCATGTACTTGGGTAGTGTTGTGGCAGCTCTCGTTACTCTAGTTGCTAGATTGAAAATCCGGGTCCAACGTATCCGAACAGACTCAGATGCGATCTGCAGCAACGTTGGTGAGAGGGTGTGCAAGACAATGTGCGAACTCAAGCTCTGGGAACGTGTGCAGAACTCCTGCCTATATCCCCCAGGGCACTCATCGTCGCTGTAGTAATCGCTGAACGCATCACTGGAGCAGTCGTCGTGCGACCGCGCCTGTGCTCCGCAGCGTGCGGTGTTCTGAGAAGAGAGCTGAGGTTTGTGTAAAGGTGCTGGCTAACTAAGACCTTCATCCATCACGGTGCAGCTGGTGCTCTTCAAACCTCTCCTGAGCTTGCTTGGCACTTGAAGCTTGAGGCCGCCTTGGGCAATGGGGGGGGTTTGGGGGGGAAGGCCTCCTCACCCTGAGCCCGAGCCTGGCCTTCGCTCTTCGGGTAGGGCGCCGGCAGGCGGGCGGCATTGCGGGCCCCTTGATCTACACACTGGATTTGAAAAGTCTGCCATTCAGCTCTTGAAGAGTCAGAGCCGCAAGCCGGCACGGGTTTCGGGTTTGGGGCTGGGGTTTCTGCGCAGCAGGATGACATGCCTTTAGCCAAATGGCTAGCGGTGGATACGAACCGGCATGCACAACCTCCCACAGTTCATGCCGAGTGCTCTCACCACCCGACAGGAAATGACCATGACAGCTGCCTGAAGAGACTGGGCTGAACTCAAAAGCGAGAGCTCGAGGCAGCTTGAAAAGCACGTGCTTCCGGTACCTGGTCGTCGGCTCCGTCGCCTGGATGAAGTCTTGCTACTTCTGGCCTGGGGCCTACGATGTTCTTGTTGAGCTCGCAGTGTCCTGTGAGAAATTGTTCAGGCTCGGATGAGATCTCCGAACAGGAACCTGCAGTCCAGCCGAAGACGCCAGCATCGGGATGAGCCCTGAAGGAGCAGCTAGCGCGGACAAACCCACACGACCCCGACGATCTAAGTCAATCTCACATGATCTGCGGCGCAACAACCAGGACCATGATCCATGGACCATGTATTCACAATCCTAAACCCCGAACAGATCACACCACCCTTCAGCCGAAACCACGATTCGAGAATCCTGTCCTTCCAGAACACGAACAACAAATCCCAACCCAAATTCAGACGTCCCTAAACTTGCCAGGAGGCTCGTGCGGCCAGAATCGCAGCAAGCTGCGCCAAGCGGCTTGGCGCCTTTGTGGTGAGCAACTCGATGAGGCTTCGGGTTGCAACTCCATCTATCTTCGGAGCTCTTAGAACTAAGGGTGTTTTGGAAGAGTCGAAGCCTCGACCGAAATCCAGGGTTGAAAAGCAGGTGAGCTCCATCGCGTTGAAAAGCACTTGAAAGGGCAAGCAATCTCTAGAGCCCGCGACCTCCCGATTTGCCGGGGTTGTGAAAGATACGGCATCAAGAATCAGTCATGACAGAACTTGGGGTGAAGTATATGTTTGCATCCAGTGTCTCCAGTTTATTGGCTCTCAGTGCAAAGCCGAGTCCAGCTGGTCCTCCTCCCGAAGATCCAATACAAGGCGATCTGAAGGAGGACCTGTCTCTCGAGAGGAAGCATGGATTTTCAAGGGGCTGTGGGGCTGTCGCTATTGTAGATCCCAAGTACCGCTCCAAGCGAAGCCTTTTCTGCAGTGAACCTGAGACTCCCCAAATCAAACGTCGGAGTGCGGCCGATGCTGAGCTCGCCGAGGCTATGCGTCACCGCCTTCCCACAAAAATGGGCTCAAAGGCTCAAGGTTACCGGCTCCGATGGCCTTCATGCAGTTTCGGACTTGGGCACGTGGAGAGAGGAGTTAGACGCTTAGCCGGCTTAGAATGGTTGAAGAGTGCCAATTAAAGAGAACCCTAAGCACCAGGCTTAGCCGGGCCTAGGTCCGGAGTGATGATTTCTGCGCAACATCATGACTTGTGCTCAAAGCTCGTCCCTCGTGAAGTCTGAATGAAAGTTTGAAGAGATGCGCATCGACCTGATATCTTGCTGCCTTGTCCGCGATCACACTGGAGTCTGATGCGACCTCCTGCGCAGCACTGCTTCCCAGAACTGAAAGGGGCAGGTAAACTGGCCTTTTGCCCAGTATTGTAGCCTTTCCGTAGTGGCTACAATGGCAATGAAACTTGCAATCCTAGCCTTTGCAATGGTGCTTGCGGAAGACTAACCCCCCATGTTTCAAGATGCCTCACAACCTGAAAACGCCTGCCGCCACCGAAACCTGCGATGAGAGATCATCGCCGCAACCATCAAATCGCTGGACCGATCTGGAATCGAAGCACAAACCTGACAGCCTGAGTAGCGGAGAATGAAAAGCCGTAATGAAATCCCAGGAAAGGTATTGCATGCGGGTCTGCAACATGTTTTGGAAGAGATGAGCACTGGCAATGGAATTCGGGGGCCTGAGTCTGGAGAGATCTCCACACCACCTGAGCAACAGATGCAAGGGTCTAACAGCGCGACACATGGAACTGGGATGTGTAGAACAGAGTGAGTTCGTGGATAGTCTTACATTCAATATGTTTCTACTTCCATCCAGTATTCTGATCCTCCCAAGCCACAAAATCTATTCAGGCCTCAAGCCTGAGGCCGTCCCATTCAGCAGAGCCCTGTCCTCTGCCAAAAGGCCATAGAAAGCGAAGCCGCTGCAACCGAACCGAAAAGAACCGTTGAATCCTTGCCGGGTGCCTCCAGCCACCTGTGCCTCTGGGTTAAGAAAAACAGAAGCGCTTACCATACCACGTGAAGTTCGCCCATCTGCTCCCCAGCAAGTCGACTGCGAAGTCGGAGCTTGGCTGCCTCGTAGAGATGTTCCACTGGCGAGGAGCGCTTCCGGGCTCGGGCGGCCCTGGCATTCGCCGGGCTCAGAGGCCGCTCGCGCAGAGCCTCTCAGAGGGGGCGAGCCGCTGTGTTCTCTGAGCGACGGTCCAGTTGCAATCCTTTTGCGATTTTGCGCATGCTTCTTGGTCCAGGTCGGTAGCAAGATTTGAAGTGGTCCACAAGTTATTGTCAAAGGCATGCTACGAATACTACGCTAGTTTTTGATTGGCAAAATATTTCCATGGTGTTCAAACGAAGAATGGAAAGGTGTTGACAGGGAAGGACCTCAAGAGCCGACGAGCAGTGACGAGCATGGTCCGAGGACGAAATTTGAAGAATCCCAAATCAAGTTGGGGGCTGCACTGTAGCGGCCCAGATGCATTCCATTGCAACCGCATTTGTTGTTGGAGACTCTCGGGCTGACCGTATCAACTGGGACTGAGTGTGCAACATTAGGCAAAACGGTGCCTGGCCAGCGCAGCAATTCCAGTGAACAGCCTTTTTTCTAGCTCCGCTTGTCAAAACGGATGGGTCTAGTTTGCCTAGCTTCGTGGCACCACAGGCCGCAACCTTCGGGGCTCACAATCTGGCCGACGAGGCGCGCGGGTAACACAAAGTCTGCGAAATGCTGTATGGATGCTGCCTCTGAAGCTCGAAACTGCATCGAAAAGCCCTGCCAGTAAACGGAAGTTTGCACGAGCGCATGCATCTCACACAGCAATGCCACTGCAATGCCCACTTCGAGGCTGCACCAGCTGAAAAGACCCGCTTTAGATGAACATGAAGCCACGGCCACCTTCGCAGGGACTGCACAAATCAGACCTGGAAGCTTCGAGGCCCGATCAGTTTGCGGCTGGAGGTGTGACGGAACATGTCTCGCACAACCAACCCTATTCAGAAATTTATACTCGAGGAAACGTGAGAATCGGAACTTGCACGTTCATGGCCCTCCATATGCTCCCCCCTCCCGCTATGTATCTCTGCGCCATGAAAGGTGCACCTGCGTGAAGCAAGCGGAACCTTAAAACTAAACACAGGAACCAGCGTCGCGCTCACGGCGACTGGGGACCCTGCAAAATCCAGTGCAAGTCTCGAATTATGTCACGCGTCGGCCACTGCAGCCTCACGAGACTCCGCATATTGACGGGGTTGGCAAATCCCAACGAGGTCAGCCTCAACCTCATGGAGAGCATCCATCACGTGGCCCATCTCCGCATCCAGGTCCACTGCTAGACTCATGGCATCGGAGTCGGCATCCTCCGAAAGCACGGCCAAAGCTACTTCAATCCCCTTAACCCCGACGAAGAAGTCACAATTTTGCCACGTCCTTGATACGGCTCCCCATGTTTGCCAGCACGGAGTGGGCTTCTTGAAGATCCGCGGAGAACCTTTCCCGCTCCAACCTTTGCAGATAGCCTGTCGGATGAAGATAAGCCACATGCAGGACAAGACTGCAACAGGGCTGCAACGAACGAATTTGCTAAAAACTGCCAAGCAGCTCTTCAAAACGTGACGGCAAGTCATGTACAAGATCCCGAGGCTGCCGGTGACAGATGCTGGTGCCAACAGTGCATGTGGGCCTGGAAGCTTATTCTCTGCATAGAGGCCCAAGACACCGCCGATGAAGTAGAACATCCAAAGCCCCATCAGAACTGCCAGCTTGCGAGCATCCACACCAATCTCAGCGCGCTCAACATCGTCGAGCCTGCTGCGCCGGCAGCCCTTTCTCAGGTAGATCATGCTGATGCGACCAAGGGTGGAGCCGATGTCGGTGACAGTGCCTGAACTGCCAAAATGGGCCTCCGCACTTCCCCTGGCCTAAGGACTACAGCGTGTCTTTAGTCAGGACATGCGGGCCTGTCACATGGGTGGTGCGAATGATAGCACCAAAATGAGAAGTACACATGGCATTCTGCAAGCCGCAAGCTGCTGCCACCATGCAAGCTGGAAGAAGCCGTCCAGGAACAAAAGCTGCCGAAGCAAGAAGTGCTGAGTTCAAGACCAGAGCCAAGCCGTAGAAGGCCTTGCCGAGGAAGTGGACTTGGTTCTTGTCAATCAGCATCCCGCAAGCATAGGCCCCAAGTAGGAACGACGATACCAACGAGCTGGCCTGCAATATCGTCTCGAAGTCATTTTCGTTCTGATGGAAGCCTTCAGCATGGAAGGCCATGCGCGACGTGTTGCCCGTGACATGGGAGGCATAGAGACTCCAACACTTGAAGGCGATGGTGTTGGCAGCTCCCGCGCATGCGGCCAGGCACCAGCCGAAACCCGTGACCCAAAATTTCGGTCGCTGGAAGCTCTTCCTCACGGCGGCAGCTTTCGCTTGGACCTCGCTAGTGCCAGAAGGCCAGGCCGGCACCTTCGCTTGCTTCGCTTGGGGCTCTTGAAACTGTGCCATCTGACGCAGTGACGAGAACAGTGAAATAGCCTGCAGCACGCGAGCCAAAACTTTGCGCGACGGTCAAGTCTGGCAAGGCTTGTGTCGGCTGCAGAGGCTGTTGGGAGGGGGGGGTAAATTCCGACGGCCTCCACTGCAAGAGGCAAGTCTGGTCCCACAGGGCTCTCCGCACACACCTGGCATGTGCAAGCATTCGAGCGGCTTGCCCTCTTTTGAGGATCTCAGGCTTACTATTGTCATGCGAGCCAGCGGAGCTGGGCACCGGGCTTCCGGATTCCTTCACTTCAGAGCTTGCCAAGACGTGGATCTAAGCAGTGCAGTTTGTGATGGTAGCCCAGCCAGGAAACGCAGAAAATAAATCAAGCAACTGTGCAGGAAACGAGTTGCCCATCGCACAACATGCCAGAAAGTGCCCGCGAGGTGCAAAGAGCCCCTGTAATCACACCGGATCCTCGTAGACTGGTCTTTGTTATTTGTTTTCGCAGTCTTGTTGTTGCATTGAAGGCTTTGTCAATGCTCTTCTAGTCCGGATGGGCAGAACAGATCGCAGAACACAATCCATGGGTGTGTAGGTTTTGCGGGCCTTCTCAGAGACAGTGAAGGAGGTCATCACCTCAGCCTGCGAGCTGGCGAGGACCTCGGGCGGCCCGTTCGAAGAGTATGCAGTCTCCGAGTGAGGCCACAGCTTCTTGTGGCTATCCTAAAGCTGTGCCCGGATTGTTTGACCTCAAGCCAGTCAACAGACAAGCGACGAATCGACACGGCGGCTGACAGTTGTGAACTCTGGGCCGTGGTTCTTGCGGCTAAACCTTGAGAGCCTGTGGCTACACGAAGCATCTGGACCCAACCACCCGGCCTGCATGATGACAACCCAGTCCTTGGCGATTGCGGAGTTGACTTGTTTGGCTTGGGTTGTTGAGCTCACCTGTTCGGCTTTGTCATGACCTCCCCTGCCACGGTTCCCTGTGGACAAATGCCAATCTCCACGCAGCTTACGTAGCTGTAGCTGACTTGAACAGGGCACGTTTAGAGACCTCGGGGAAAGGCTTCGCCAAGGCAAACGACTGCGTCGCACAAGTCGCGCGCTTTTTCCTCTAACGCCCCGAAGACGCGCGAGGCGACGCTGCACCACCTCGCCGAGGCTCCGCCAGTCCTGCGCCGGTTGACTTCAGAGTCGAAGAAACCCAGCAGCCTGCGCAGCCTGCGCGCAGCCTGCATATCTGTGGCTTTTGGGCTTCTTTACGCTTCGGCCTGGTCATCCAGAGTCACCTGGCCAGCTCGGAAGTAGCGCTCCCGCCGCTCCTGGCTTCGAAATCCGCAGGACTCTGAAAGGAGCCGTCATGCCGAAAGTCTTGACATTGATGCTGTGATTTGATGTTTTGCTGGTGTTCTCTGAACAGACATGGGTGCGCCAGATGGCAAGGGTAGCGAAGTACATGTTTGGGTCGGAGTGCGTATCCCCAGATGCAGAAAGTTGCCGGGTAGCTTTGGCTACGAATCAAACCTCCGGTAACCTCCGGTCCTGGAGCTGCTCCTGCTCTTCGGGTATGGTGCTCTGTGCCGCTGCGGACCTGGCCACACCTGTCGACATCGAGGAAGCAATCCCAACGCTTCAAGCGCTTGAAAAGAATGCAGAAAGCCCCTGGGGCCCGAAAGACCAAGCCTGGTGCCGGTACCAAGGCTTTTCGCCGTCCATAGAGGAAGGTCACCTCACATTCTTCAGAAGTCAGAGTTACAGTTACAGAGTTACGGTGCCTCAACCAGGCGTCACAACCCGTCATCTGAGCTAGATGGAGCTACCCTTCAGTCGAGCATCATTAATGCGACGATTCTTGTAGCCCTTCTTGAAACGCATGCAATCTGTCTTGTGGAAGTATGTGGAATCGAAAAGAACCGCGCGGTTCTCCAAGTACGGGATGGTCACATTCCAATAGTTTGTAGTCCGCAGAATCTCATCGATTCGAGGATTTTGCACAATGCTGTTGTAGTCGGTGTAGTTCCATTCTGCCGGAGGGCCCACGCCATAAAGAACCAAACCACCAGACGGAAGGGAGTTGTTTTCCAACCAAAGATTTGCTGAAGATGGGCTGATGAAGAAGTTAATCTGCACTTGGCAGTCGTCTGCATGGGTGTCAATGCCGCCAAGAGAGCCATCGTACATGTAGGCCCAAGCCTGCTTGGGACAGGTGCACAGCAGACTCAGGTCACTTCAGTCGCGATCTCATGCCAAGCGACATTGTGTAACTCCTTGCCGCTAAGAAGAGGCAGTTGCTGCCTGTTGCCACGGACACGACGAACACATGTTTGCATTGCCGAAAGCTGCCGGACTGAGTCTTGATCATCAGAACATTTCACACAACCGTCGATGAGTTCCCCAACACCCTCAGTGCAAGTTGACAAGATTCCATCGCCTCAGCTCCTCATCAATTTGACTGACCAACTCCGAGGCAAAGCCTGTGTCGAGGTAGGTGCCTAGGTCATGCGGCCCTCAACACAAGGTTCATGCCGGCAGTGTCGAAAACCTTTGTTAAATCTGTTGACGCTTGCACACCCTTTCGAGTGTATGTGACCTTGCGTGCTGCAGGTCCTCGTGCGGGAAACCGCTTCTGGCTGAGGACATCATCCACAAAACCGATCCGCGACTTGCCGTAGCAAGGCCCGTTTTAAAGGATGCTGTGCAGAAAGGAATCATTTTTGCTGCAAAGTCCATAACGTGGGCTAGGAAAGCTCCTATACAGGACAGCATGGTGGAGAGTGTCATGCGGAAAACAAGGATTGTCAGAAGGGTCCGTAACGGTGGTGAGGGCTTTTCAACGAGATTCCATATCTCATATCTTGTATTGGGGAATCCAGGACAACGGCCCCGCGGAGAACTTGGGTGGGTTTCCTATCAACAGACTAAGAAACTGAGAGGAACGGCAGATCCGCTCTCCGAGCGCATGCAAAAGTTGGGGCTCACGTCTGTCGTTTCCCAATGCTTCGCAATGTAATGTAGTTTTATGAGAGCACTAGAGCACTAAACCGCTGAAGAAGCTGGCGTTGAGTGCACTGCCCGAGCGTTTGCTGAGGAATCTAACACGAAAGCGATGGAGGATCGGTCGAAGTTGGAGGGACGTTGCGAGCTCTGCTGCGCGCAACTTCCACGTGCCTTTCGCGGTGATGCGTGTTCGTCATTTTGGCTGCTTTGGGATCTGTCTTTAACTAGTAATACTGGTGATACTGCCAGTCCTCGTTGTACTGGTAAGACTAGAATACTAGTACGAGTACTATGGCAGTAGAAGCAGCAGCAGTAGTACTGCAACCTACTAGTAGGAGCAGCAGCGCATGAACTACCATTACGAAGAACCAATGTCAAGGAGGATTTTGTTTACGGAGAGCCTCTTGTCACGGGAATCGAAGGGGAATCCTTTAAGGCTCGGGTAGCAGGGTTTTGCCCTGTATCGGGGACTCCGGGCTTTCGGACTCAAGATGAGTGGGGGTTCAAGTAGAAGACAGAACACCGGAGCATTTTGCCTTTCAAGTAAGATGTCCGGGAATGCAAGCACCATTCGTCCGTATCCCATGTTCCTTGCTGGAGTTCACTGTGGAGCTTGCCCCAGTCCGAGTGTTGAAACAGGGACCAGACCTGTAAGGTTGTGAGTTATACCGGACTGATCTTTCCGGAATGACTTCGCCCAACAATGGACGCCAAGCATTTCTGAAACAGACAGCATTAACATCTTCAGGTAAGCTTGCGCACACCCCTTGCGAGCGGCGGTTGTTACAGCATGCGGTGTGCAAACCTTGGACGCATGCGAAAGTTGCTTACGCACGCTTGCGCGCCCATGTGTTTATGTCGCCCCTGGTCTGGCAAGCTCTTGGAAGGTTTTCATCTCGGCTCTGCACGGCTGCAGTCTTTCAAAACCTCTAGCTCTTAGGATTACATTGGCCTTCCAGATTTGGACGGAGTCTGACCCAAATTCTGGATAGTGCCTACTGGAGCCGCGCCAATGAGTACAGTAGAAATCGCGATGCCTGAAAGTTCAACTTCCTGAAGTCAGTCATGGGGCCCACATGGCCAAATTTGACCTGGGACCATATGGTGGACTCCAGCAAATAATCTTGAAGTGCCTTCACTGCCTCAGCTGGTACACACCAGTGCACGGAATGCACGGAGAGCTTTGATCCACTTGCTCGCAGCTCTGAGCGACAAGATGCTGGGACGACTGTAACATGGAAACATGAACTCCTGAAGGTCCAAACTCGCGACGGCTCAGGGAACCGATGAAGCGACGCACACGCTGACAGACATCCAATGCAAACATCTAGCATCGGGAGTGAAGAAATCATCCACCACGCACACTCGGTGTTCTTTGCGTAGAAACTCCTCAGGCAGAGGCACTTCGGCGAAAGCAGGGCCTGGTTTTGGCTGGGGCAATGATGTTCCTTCTCAGCAGCAGGTCCCTTCATGCGGAAGCTAAGCGAGTCACAACCTCCAGCCTCTCGACTCCCGCCCGGCCTTGTTGACTGACCTGGTTGCGTCGTAATCGCGATGTCTTCACGCGCATCCCTGCAGGCCCCTGTCTCGGTTCTTGCCAAGCATCGCCAGGTCCGCGGCCACAGCGGCACCAGCCACACGCTGACCCGGATGCCTCAGGGTTCGCGTAGGGAGCATCATCCTGTCGTACCGAAATCACAAACATCTCACTGCAGAGGTTCGCAGAATATGAGACATGCCATGCATGGTCGTGAAATGTCGTGAAACTACAAGCATACAAGAAAGTTCCGGCTGTGCTACGCCCGGGCCCGAACACACAAGTCGACAACTTCCGACCTCAAACTCCTGAAATCCCTGAAGTCCTGAAGCTCAAGACCAACCGGGACCGGACCAGGTGCAGGTGAAAGGCGCGGCCCTGCAAGGCGAAAAAGATACTAAACCTGAGGCAAAAGGCTCTTGTTGGCTTCGGCTTCAACGTGATACGTTTTCTCGGATAGGTCTTTTCGGGTATGGCTCATGTAGTTTCATCTCTGAGACAGTAGCGTTCGAGTCAACGGCGCAACATGACCCTGTCCCTCCTACTGGTCCTATCGTCCGAACCACCACCGCCGACCAGAACAAGCAGCTGCGGCTGTGGAGGCGTGACGACGAAGGCATCCATTCCCCCAGCAGCTACCAAGACGTGCAGGAGGACACGCCGAAACTCCGGCAGGGCATGATCTTGCACAAAGCGCTGCCGGTCGGGGGAAAGGACCTCGCACACAGGATAGACCGTCACTGCGACTGCGGGACCTTCGACATATCCCAGCCCTAACATGATACAAGACTTGAGCTACATGCTGCTACATGCGAAGCCTGGCTTGGACAAGGCCCCAAGCTTCCGAAGCTGCCTTCTTGGACACGAGGTATTCCAATTGCTCAATGTCTCGCCGTAACTGATGGGGGACGATCGTGAAGACGCGCCTTGCACAGTTGAGGTGGGGACATGCCACCCGAAGATTCAAAACATTGCCAGAACCTGGGATCTACAAGGGCAGCTGGACTACAAAGCAGCGAGTCCAGATTTTTACAAGATGAAGATCGGCGAGGCACTCGATGTCAGTCCATGGGGCAAGGACGCCTGCAGTCGGGAGCCTCTCGATGGACTTGGCCTCCACGAACCTCTGGCGCAGAGCCTTCAAGGAGGCCGCCGGTCCTGGCTTCGAATTCGCAAAGACATCAGAGGATTTCGTGGGGTGTCACAGCCCGTGTCACAGGCAGTGCAAACCCTCCGAAGACAAGACACAGAACGGAGATGTTTCCCGTCCTGCCAGCGCACGACCGACACGGCTTGTGGCACCGCCCAGAAGCGCCAGAACTGCGAAGCTCCTCTCGGATCACATGCTTGCGCTGAGGGAACTGTTGGCAAACCGACTCTCCCTTGCGGGTGCTGCTCTCAGAAACAGCTTCAGGTTCCTGCTGGGACAGCATTCCACATCCTGCAGCCCCGGATTTAAAGCTTTCATTCCAACGTTTCGCGGCTCTTCGCAGCTAGACCCGACAAAGCCTGCAGACTCGGAGGTGCTCAATATCAATTGCTGGCCAGGCCAGCCTCTGCGCACGCTTTGCCCTTGCCCTGCGCTTTGGAGATCCGCTGGCCATGGCCCCTGCTACATGCTCGGCCCTGGCCCCTGTGGACGGGGTTTGGATTTTGCTTGTGTCTTCGCCAGCTGTTGCTGAGCGAATGGGATGTGGCGGTGGCATGTTCAATGAAGATGCAGCTGGAAGCTGGAAGCTACAAGGTGCAAAGAAGTGCGAGAAGCAGTTGCAAAGTCTTCAAGTGACGAACCGATTGCACCCACAAGTCGAAACCTGGCCCGTGCTCTACTGAATCACGGAATCTTTCCGAGACCCCGGCACATCCAGGAGCGTGCCACTGCGGCCATCGTCCAGGGCCAGGCCTCGGGAATGGCCTCAAGAACGACAAAGAGACGACTTGGCCCCACGCAAGGCCCCACTACGCTTCGGCCCGGGCAAGGCCAAGTGGGCGGAGCGAGCGGATACCGGCACCTGCCAGGCTTGGCCTTTCTTCTGCCTTGAGCTTCCGGCTTCCGGGCTCTAGTACTCTAGTGTCCAGCGCTGATACGTGCTGGGGAGGGGGGGGAACCCCAAGCAACCAAAAAAAGCGACCCAATTACAATAACAGTCGCATGAGTGTTCATGCAGGTATTTGTAATTTCGGGAGCCAGCCGTGCTTCGCCGGAGAAACTGTGCGGTATAACATTACCAACGGCCAGTGCCAGGCCTTGATCTCAGGCGATTCCTGCAGGGCATGATCGTTGCGCAGCAAGTCTCTGCAGCAGCTACAGGCTCCGTCGGGTATGTGAAGCCCAGCAGCCCCACAACAGAAGCATGTTTCTCCATGCTGACGCATGTAGGTTTCAAACAACCTGAAAACAGCATGTCAGACCAATATATACGACTGAAACTACCCACTGCACCATCAGACCTGCTGCTCGTAGAAGCCGTTGGGGGCCAGGCCTTCAGAAGAGTTCTAATACTAAAGCTTGAGGTTTCTGCCTCGCACATGCGAGGTCCAAGAACTTGACACCCTTCACTCGATCCGGGTTTCTGCGCCTGCCAGCTGAATCGCACCATCCACCACTCCCGGATGCAGCCAAAAGTGGTGGTGAAAACCATCCTCCTCCAGTACGTGAGCTATGTATCGATCTGAACTCGTGTGGATTCAAGCGAGGCAACTGTCAGACGCGGGATCCTCCGCACGGAGCACCCCCACAAGGTTGCTGGCGCTGCTGCCCAGTCGGCGCACCGTTCGGAAGGAGGCGCCGAGGGTGTAACCCGCAGCATGGGCTTGCGCCTTCTCTGTGCGCAAAATGCACAGGACTTGGAGCATCCGCGTGTCAGGGTTTCTCATAGCAAGTTCTGAAGCCTGATCAATAATTTCTGGAAGCTCGGAGCAGGACGTAGAACTTGTCGGCGTCCAGGCAGAGCGACTCCTGCACGAATCGACCGGCACTGAGACCCGCAAAGACGGCTGGGAGATTTGTGGACTCGAAAAAATCGGAGGGCAACCACCTGAAGCTTGGGAGCAAAGCCGAGACTTAGTCCTCACTAACGGCGCAGCCCCCTGCAGCAGGACACTCTCGAAATCCAAACCAAACTAGCCGATTGCAAACAAACAAGGCCTCCACAGTTTGCCAGCGCCTGTTGCGGCGGGCCAGGGCTGCGTTGACTGCTTAGTTCCGGCAATGGGACGGATCACATCAGAGATGGACGGACGAGGCCGAGACAATCCGAAGTGGTCAAACCAGCAATCGACCGACATCACAGGCACTGCCCTTAGTCTCGGCACAACTACAAATCTTCATCACCGAAACTTTAGAGCCTGGTTTCGTGGCCCGTAGGCCGTTGTCCTGTCTCGTTAAGTTCAACCTATCTAGGGTTTGGAAACCTGCTCGGAGCCTGGCACTTCGATTTAGCACCACGTGCCAAGATCCCCTTTTGAAAACCTGGATCCCGAAAACTCGTCACGGGCCGAAGCTCCGTGAACACCTACAACACCAGAACCATAACCCCAAAACCGATGCCCAAGGCCACTAGATGCGGTGTATCTAGCTTCTACTGAGACACCCGCCCGAACCCCAGACATGTCAATGTAGCCCATTGTTTCCAGGCGTGCTATGTCTTGCCTGACTTCTGCCGGATCTGCACACTCGTGACGCGGGCTGGGCACTGCCTGCGAGACTGCAGGCTCCGAGATTGCTTCAACTTCTATGCGTCACATTCAGGGAGGCATTGCGATGCTGCAGGTCGGGTCATGCCTTGCTTGAGGCAACTGGGCGTGAAGATGCTTGAGGCCTGTAGCAGTACTGTAGTGACTAGGGGAGACCTAAGGCACTCTGTGCTTTACAGGTATGCTCTAGTACCTCTCCGTATCCGTATACGTGAACTGAGTTGCACTTGCAATCAAAGTCACCCACCCACTTCTTTAAGGCCCTGATTCAAGCCCATCTTAAACCCGAAAAACAACTCGCCAAAGTCGCCTGCACCCAGGCTTCACAATGCCTGAGAACTCGAGGCTCCTGGTTGAAAGCTTGATGGATTCAGCTGCTTGAGGACTGCAAGAGCTTAGGTTGGGCTTCCAGATTTTCCACGCTTTATGGACTCCAGCTTTTGCGATTTCGCCAGTTCCAGCATTACGAAGCTGCCATCGAATTCAGAAGTCCAGGCTCCTCTGAATGAGGTCGAAATCTTAATGATTGAACCTTCGAACCCTGGAACCACCTGGCCCATGACGAAGCTCCAGCACATGCTTTTCGAACCCACTGCCTGCGCATTTTGGCTGTTGGTGTCTGTTTGACTTCGAGTTAAAGGGTGCCCAAAGGTCTTTACAGACGAGGGCAGAGGTGCCGTCGAGACGTTCGTCAACCAGCTCCGCAAGGCTAAACAGGCGTCCTCCGCAGGACGACCAGACAAGTGGAACCGAATGAAGCCTGAAACCTCCACACCGCCCGGAGCTGAGAAGAACCGGTCTTGTTTGAGCCGAGCACGCGCAGTCGCGGATGCAAAGCGTTCTGTTCAAAGAAATGCTCTGGCGGTCTCAGACCGCAGCACGGGCGCAACGGCCATCACAACATCTGCAGACAGCTGTCGCAAGAGTGTATCTACACTACAATGTTACAAGGCAAGTCTTGTCTGTTGCCAAGCTTGCAAACTCTCGTACAGGATGGTGCTGCTTCTGCTCCTGCGCGGCATTGGCGACTGGAGCACATTGGGCTACCCAATGCTGCCATGAGAGGTGAGCCGTTGTAGCGTTCGTCTTTGCGAATCGCTGCTGTCAGGCTGTCAGGAATCATTAACTAAGCAGCGGAAGCCAGGCACAAGAAGCCGAAGGCTGACGAAGGCTAAGTGTTGACAACAAGGCCACGAAGGCTGCGGTAGACCCTAATTTCAAGCTTGCGTCCCTGCACCTCCGAATCCAAGCAGCCAGGCATACTTCTGGCTCAGGCCGCGCCGAGCCATGCCGAGCCAGGCTCCAAACCTCCCCGAATAACGACAAACGAAGCAAGGAGCTAAGCGCGGCCCCGTGTCATCTGCAAGTGTAGACAAAGGGCATTGGCTGTTCTTTCACTTGGGGAAATGTGCCCGGGTGTTTCGGTTGATGCAATTAGGCTCGAAACAAACATTTAATTCGTCAGATGAGTTGCGCTTGTCAGTGCGTGCCAAGGGTTGAAATCTGGGCTGTCCGTGCTTGTTTTTGTGCTTGTTTTTATCTTTGATGCGGTGTAGCCGGAAAGTGACTGTCTACTTGCCGTCGTGGTCTGATTGAGACGTCTTGCTCGGACTGCGACCGTGAGAAAAGGGTGATTCAAGGGCGCGGAAAAGACTTTCCTACTTATGATGGGAAAACCAGTGAAAGCTCACGTCATCAACGAAGTTCATGAGCGGCCTACAATGATTGCTTTGCTTGTTGCACTTGTTTTTCTCCACGGAAGAATGAAAGACGTGTAAAAAAATGACACAAAAGTCTGATTCCACGCCTCCGAAAAAAGTGACCTCTCTCAGAGAACGCTTGTTTTTGCCAGGTGGCTGACACGCCGCGCGGACGCCGTTTTTGGGCCTCTTTTCGTTGTTGCTGTTGCGAGGTTTTCGTCTGCAGCATGCGTTTTCCTCGGGTTTTTGGGTTTTGAACATTTGTTCTCTGCTTGTGTGTTTCGTTCTTGCTTTTTGCTGGTTTTGTCTGCGCTGCGATTTTGCTCTTTTCGGCTCCAAAACTCGAGGTTTTGCTGTTTTTTGGCGCGTTTTATGCTGGAAGGGCCGTTTTGGCTGCATTTGTTCCGGGTTATTCGCAGTTTTGTTGCTGCAGTTTCTGTCCTTTCGCAGAGCATCCACGCGCCAACCATGATAACATATAGACCAGACTCCACCCATTCCCGCAGGGGATCCATGTGCCAACCATGATAACGTCCAGATCAGACTCCATGCATTCCCACAAAGCATCCATGAGCCAATCATGACAACATGCGCTTTGGCGCTAGTGTGCAGCCGAGATGGGGTTCGAGCGTAGCGTGAAAACAGAGTGCTGAGTGCGCGCTTCTTACTCTCTTCCTTACATTTTGAGATATGGTCATGTTTTCGCCGCAAATTACAGTACTGTTGGGTTTGGGGAATGTACCGAAACGCAGGCCAGCAGGTCAGCCACCGACCTTGTTTTTCCCTACGAAATTGACGCTCCGATGCCTGGTGCCACCTTTTTCTATACTAATGTTCCAGCCTTCTCCACAAAGCAGCGATGAGTGAAGCCGTGATTCTCAGTGAAAAATGTTATTCCAAGTCATTGGGAAAGTGATCTCCTGTGTTTCACGTGACAGAAAATTCACAAGTCCCACGAAATCTATGTACCGTTGGGCCGGAACCGGTCGTTCTCTTCTCTGTTTCACTTGTATCTCAATCTGCTTCCACCTAAGATACAAAAAGAATGTGATTCAAGCCACTGAATCGCGATTCCGGAACGCTGATTCGTTCACCCCTTCCGCGTCAAGTATGCAGATTCTCCCACCGATCACTTCACTGTTTTTGCACTCGTTACAGTACGAGCACTTAGTTTTCACACATCACGAGCACACACACTGAATGCTAAG